ATTCTATCTTATCCACATAATAACTCTATATCGTTTTTCCGATTTCAAACGATGAAAACTTTCTATCATTATTCAGATATGATTTCAGCTTTCTGAAATCAACTTTTGATCTTACTAGGCATTTCCTGAGGTGTACGCTCTTCATCCTGCCTGGCCAGGGCAAGTGAATAGCTATCACAATCAGGAATATCACCTTTCACTTACTTTGAAATTATTACGATCGGATTTCTACTGTATTAAACTATTCTTATTCTATTAGCAAGACAACATACTCCTTACACAATCAGATCAGAAATTTTTCAATCTATGTTGGCATGTACACCTTTTATGACACTTTGGACTTCGGTTTATGCCGAGAATCGGCTAAACCTTGGCTCTGATACCATTAAATGTAACACCCCCAACCCGTATCCGACCCGGATACGAGTCCGAAGTGTCACATTGACTTTTTAAACATTCATTCGTATAAAATAGTGGGTAATTTAAAACTTTGATAACATTTAATTTATTTCAAAGCGTTTACAACAGATATCAGAGTTCATACCATTTATATCTTTAGACTACATGCCAACTACACTCTGTAAACAGTACATACATTTTCTGATCTGACATTTGGTAAGGAAAACTGACCTGTCTTGCTCCGCATTACTCTTTACTCTTCTCGAAACCTACGCGTGAAACAATCACACGCTAAGTCGAAGACTTAGTGAGGCATAACGACTTATAATGCACTTCATAACATATATCAATATATGCATGTTCTGTTCTATCATGTTATACCAATTTCATGCATTCTTCGTATCATATAAGATCATATCAGATTAATTACAGTAAATACATACAGACACATAATTCATCATTAACAGTTTATCATGTAATCACATACTCTTATTGTTAACAATTTTCAATCAAACACTATACACACACAACATCATATGATTCACATAACACATTTCAAACCACTTATAAACCCATCGTATACATATCACATTCAGTATGCTTGTTTAATCACTTTATTAGCCCATGTACACTAGTGAGAACTTAAGGTATGTGAGTACATTGAGGTTGTGCACACATATGCTGTCACCACAGCTCGATCAATGTCCCGAAGGACCAGTCCATAGATTCCGAAGAACCTAGGTAATCAGTCCATATGTCCCGAAGGACATAGGTAAACAGTCCGTATGTTCCGAAGAACATAGGTAATCAGTCCATATGTCCCGAAGAACATAGGTAAACAGTCCATATGTCCAGAAGAACATAGGTAAACCCTCGACCCTTGGCATGCCAACTATACCCCTAGCTCTCATATCACATAACATGGGCATTATCATTTATAACAGTTCACATTACTTATTCATATTCTTTCTCTTATAACCACTTATCATTTCTTTTCAGTCACGTATCACATGTACGTGTAATCATTGATCTCATAACATATACTTGTTTTCACATATATATTTCATATCATTTCACATATACACTTTCATATCACATGCCATATAAGCTCATAGCTTCTTTCACATTCTCATAGGATCACATAGTTCATATCTTATACTTTGTTTTCTCATATTCACATATATCATGTCATATGGCTCATATCTTTCTCATGCAGTCACATAGTTCAGTTTCACCTATGTTCATATATATACATTACATAGCACATACTTCTCATAACATTACATTCAAAAGCATGTTAACACATATAATCATGCATACATACAATTCATGTCATTCATATACGTATAATCATATATTCATGCATTCTAACAGAGGAAATAGACTTGTCGCAAGTCTTGTTTCCATTTAGCACCATAAACTAATTAATATGCACTCACCTGGCCTCACTAGTCAATTCAAATCTCTTATCTTTCCCCTTGATCAATCTTACTTGCCAAACGTTCCGGAATTCTTTATGCGTAGAATCTACATAAATGTACATTTCGAGATAATCATTAGGTACCTACACCTTGTAATTTGATACTAGCAACTTAAACTAACTTATTAAACCCATATTCACAATTTTCCTTTAGGGGGAATCGGTTCCCCCCCTATGGGGTATCGATTCCCTCCAGACATTCTGGAATTCTGTCGTTTGAAGGGGTATCGGTTCCCCTTGAATGGGTACCGATTCCCCTTGCCCAGAAATCATATTTTCAACCCGAAAATTACTTCATTTTCCCTCAAACACTTCATATATCATCTCCTTTCCATTCTTAACTCTAGTACACATACTTAAACCAATCTATATTCATTTATTTCGTCTTAAACCTCAAAATCCTATCTTCCATATGAGATTCAAAAATCATACCAAATTTTCAATGTGTTCTAATTCCAATTCTAACACTCCAAATCTCTTAATTTAACCATTGACAAGTCAAATTTAACTTCAAATTCTACTTATCAATTCCTTTCCAAAATTTCATATAAAAACTCCAAATCTTTAATCTCTCTTAACCTCTCCATCATTTGTTTTTAAGATGATTTAAGCTTTCCTTAAGCTTAGTTATCATCTAATAATCAAAACCCAACCTTAAAATCAACAATTCATTTACAAACAAAGAACTTACCTTTTGAAGCTAGCCCCACGTGAAGAAGAGAAGGCAAGAAGAAGAAAGCTTCCAGATAGCTCTCTTCCCACGTGTATATAATTCCTTAAATGATCAAATGACCATTTTACCCTTTATTTCCTTTAACAATTACAAAATAACCTTCATCATATGCATCTAATAATCATAGAGCTATTTCATTCTTCTATTTTAGTCATCAAATTATGAAACTTTACAATTTGATCACTAACCCGGTATTGAGGATGTTACATTAAGTATATTTTTAATTTTGTTTAAAGAGACCTAATAATTATTAGGGTAAGCTACCTTATATAACACTCAATTTTACTCGTTGACTAGTTTATACCACTGAACTTTTAATTTTATCAGTTATAATACTAAACTCTAGTTATACATTCAATTATGCTGTCGTTAAATCACTAAACGGAATAATAATATGATTAACATTTGTTGACGTGACATATCACACTAAAACGATGCCCTATCATTTTTTGTATTTTACTCACAGTTGCAACAATTACTCAAGATATTGAATGTAGTAACTTCAAACAGTAACACAAAACAAATAAAACAATAGTGATGGAGATTGGATACAATAGATAAAAGTTAAACAAACATCATGATATTATAAATTAAATATAAATCTTAATTAGACAGAACAGATACGAAAATTGTCCGTATTGAAACATCCTTTGGCTACCTTGCTCTTGTCTTTCCTGTTCTTTGACATGATTCCGTGATCCCTTCCCCATGTTGCAACATTTTCAGAACCAAATTCTTCTTTTCTTTACCCAAATTCACATTTCTAACCCCTACTCCTTACAACCATGTCCATGGATGATAGGGATATTACTGTTACATAATTTCCAAACAAAACCAGTGTTTCTCATGTTGTCACGACACGTAGATTCCCTTAAAAGTATGAAATCTTAATTAAGATTGATGTTGACGTCATGTAGTCAACTCAAACTAAAATCCACAAAAATTACTATTTATTTTTCATTTATTTTATTCGGGGATAAAAAGGCAATTTTACCAAATATCACCTCAGACCTATTAATTACATGTTAGGCATCATCTCTCTTAATATTATCAATCTAGCACTCTTTCCGACAAAACGCAAATAACTATATGTACCTTCGTTGGGTTCTGTCCGAGCTGACGTCATGTAAGGAAAAGCGCGGATCGTTATCCGCACATTCGCTGAACCTCTGATATATATGGAAGGCGCGGATCATGAAGCGCACCTTCCATGGGAAATGTTGACATGACGCAACATCAGAAGGCACGTTCAAGGGGTATGCCTTCCAAGGTCCACATCATCCCTTAAAGCATTTTAAAAAATAATACAATAATGTATAAATAGATTCATTAGATATAGAAATAGAAAAAGTTAAGGAATACACCTTTTAACTTTTATCCCACATCGTCAACAAACATAATTTAAATACTCTAATATGTTTATATAAGTTAACCCCATTAAACTCTTCAACTCATGAAACTAATATGTATTAAATTATGATGTTAGCCCCTATAGTTTTATTTTTTAAAACATTTTTATAAAAGGTTTTAAGGGATGATGTGAACCTTGGAATGCATGCCCCTTGAAATATACCTTTTGACGTGGCACCATGTCAACATTTCCCATGGAAGACGCGCTTCATGATCGGTTCCTTCCGTATATGTCAGAGATTCAACGAAGGTGTGGATGACGATCCGCGCCTTTCCTTATGTGGTGCCACCTTGGACAGAACCCCGCGAAGGTGCGGATGGTGATTTGTGCTTTGTCAGAAAGGGTGCTAGATCGGTAATATTAGGAGAGAGTGTGCCTAACAGTTAATTAATGGGTCTAAGAGTTGTATTTTGGTAAAAACACCCCAAAAATGTTATTGCAACCATTAAATAAATAATCATTATTTATTAAGATTACTACTTATTAACTATTATTCATAAAAATAAATAGGAAATAGGAAAGCAAATTTAAGGCCAATAGAAGAGAGGGAAAGATCGATTACGTTATCTAGATGATGATGTGCAGGGAATAAAAACGATTTTTTACGAGCAAAGAATAGTAAAATGCATAATCCATAATGACTGTCTCTTCTTGGATTATATCAATTATCATTAGAAGCCTATCGTTCATATCCACAAGAGTATGACTTTGTAAAAAACTTGGATGTTTTATTAACTATTTTTACTATATCGATATTATAAACCTCTACTTCAAGTTTCTGAATATTGAATCTTCAAGCAAGGATCTTAATTTCGTAGATTATCCATAGTTTAGTAAGAAAAACTGAGCACCTACCATGCTCTTTGTATATTTTTATATATTTAATAGATTAATTTTTTATCATATAATATATTAACTTTCCTTTCATCTTTTTTCATAAGAAAGGAGAATGAAAACCTAACAGCTAATATCATAGTACCCTAGCTATACACCACTAGTCATAAAAAGAAGAAGGGCTTCTTAGTTCTTACCCTAAGGGAAAAACATAAACTGGTTTCTCAAAATAACTCAAGTTTCCTTATTTTGTAAGAAAGAAATAGTAGAAAAAGGCATATAATACTAAAAAGGTCAGTTTGTGATATGGGAAGAGGAAGGGTTGAGTTGAAGAGGATCGAGAACAAGATAAATCGACAGGTTACCTTTTCTAAGAGAAGGAATGGTCTGCTGAAGAAAGCTTATGAGCTTTCCATTCTCTGTGATGCTGAGGTTGCTCTCATCATCTTCTCTAGCCCTGGCAAACTCTATGAATTTTCCAGCTCTAATAGGTAAATATATCTTTTTTTCTTTCTTTTTGGGTTTGGATTTTCTGGGGTTTTCAGAGATCTAATTAAGTCACTGCAAAACTTTGGATTTATATATCATGGTGATTCATTCTGTTCCTTATGTTAACAAACAAGATGTTCTTATCCCTATTTTTTGGATTTTTTTATGCTTCATATCTTTGATTTATTTTCACAGCTTTTGAGAACCCTAAAATAGGGTGTTTTTCTGGTAAAAATGTTATAATTGTAATTTTTTCCATAATTATAAAACTAAATATTTTATTTTTCCCCTTTACGTGTTCAGAGAGCTTAAATTACTTGTTAATGAATAACGATCTGTGCAGATTAATAAGTTTTCCTTACTTTTTTTATATGTTTTGTTTCATATTAAACACAGTTTAATGATAGTTTGAGAGCTATAATTAATTTATTAATTATGGTCTTGCAAATGTTGCCTTTAATGTCAATGTTTTTAGTCCAATTTGCATAAGCAAAACAATATATATGTATATTAATGTGATTATCCAGGGCAGCTTTCAAGTATGTTATCAATTGACACGCACATAAACGCACGATTAATCAGTGTTTGATCAATGAACTAATTGTCTCGTGTGTCTGGTGACTGTACAACTCAAAGTTCAGCTTTCTTCAAAAGCTTACTGCAAAATTTATGCTATTTTTTGGGTAGCCACTTAGGGCCACCCCTCCTCTCTCATATCTTTCCTTCATCAATGCTACAATAGAAAGAAAACAATTATGTGAATTTGCACACTTTAATTCACAGCTCTAATATTTTTTCTTTAATTCATTGTTTTTATGTTTGCAGCATTGGTACGACACTAGAGAGGTACAACAGGTGCACCTATGGAGCATTGGAGCCTGGTCAAACAGAAATGGACACACAGGTTGTTTACTTATGATTCTCCACATATTTTAAATCCATGCATTAACCTCTTTATTTATTTATATTTCTGATTTATCAGTATAAACACCAGTTTAGATATATATATGGATATGATTTTTTTTTAAGTGTTGTATGTCATCAAGCAGAGCAACTACCAAGAATATTTGAAGCTCAAAGCAAAAGTTGAGTCCCTTCAACGTTCACAGAGGTAATATCAACAAAACATAGTTTTAAAATTTCCCTAACATACATACATACATACATCTTCTGTATATTTGCCATTCCCGTGAATATACATGAATGTACTTGGTGTTTTATAGACTTTTTCTGGGGGAAGATTTAGGAGACCTGGGCTCTAAGGAACTGGAACAGCTTGAGCATCAGTTGGACTTGTCATTGAAGAAGATCAGGTCGATAAAGGTATCTAAATGTAATTAATGTATGCTGTTTTTGATGCTTCATGTTATGAATCTGGAAAATAGTTCTATTGCTTTCCTTTTGATTAATGGTGAAATTGTGCTTTTTAATTCATGCAGACGGATATTATGGTTGAGCAACTTTCTGAACTTCAAAGAAAGGTATAAAACAGCATTGCGAATTCATTTTATTTGATGTTTTTTGAGAAAATAATAATGACATCCTAATAAGTAATATCAAAATGAGTTTTAGATTGTTCGCCGGCATATAGTTGTGTTATATGTGTGTGTGTCTGCATAATATTATTGTGCTTTCTGATATCAACGTGGACCTACTTTTGTTTACAGGAAGAAATGCTACTGGAAAATAACAGAATCCTGCGAAAGAAGGTAAAAAAAAAAACTTCATTTCAGTCCTTGTTTTCATATAAGGCTTAACTATGTTAAGAGTATGAAATATGAGTATATGAAATCATTTTGCAAGTTTTATATACATTGATGGCCATGCAGTTGGATGAACATAGTTCCACAACATGGGAGGCATACAACCAGCAAGCTCCTCAGTCACAGGGATTTCTGGAGCCCTTACAAGGCACCACTTCTCTGCACATTGGGTAACTTATTTTGTAGAATTCAAGGACATTATCTCTTGCTATATATTCTCACTTTCAACTGTTGTTGCTGCAGTTACAATATCCAAGCTTTATCAGATCAGGCCACTGCTACAACTTCAGCACACAATGGATTCGTCCCCGATTGGATGCTTTGATTGTTTTCATATTTCAATAAATAAGGAAATTCTAACATATATTTTGCTGTGTTTAACTGTTCTATTATCAAGTGTGCTTGATGATTTGGGGTGAAGCTTGTAATAATACGGATTCAAACATTATTATGAACTCTACATGTTACTCGTAATGTATATGCTACCCTTTCGTATTAAATGTTTCAGTACTCATGAAATTTGAATATAAATATATATTATCTTTAATCTATAATTTTAGAAGAAAACATATGAATTAAATACAAATTTGTTGTGCATAATATATATTTTGTATTTATTCATAAAAAGGTGGGACAGGTATTTGTCTTTTCAAGCAGATGAGTATGTGAATAAAGTATGTGGCACGTTGAGAGCCACGTGGATACACCAATTACAAATTAATTGTCTTAAATCTCAATTATAATTTTTATTAAATTATTATTCGAATTAAATATTTAAGAGATTTATCCTTTTATATTAAAATTTAACAATTAATAAATTTTGACATTTAACATTTTAAATATTATTATAATTTGATCTTAACTTTTAAAAATTAACGCTCAAAACTATACTAATATATTTTTTCTAACCTATTTTCATCATTTTCTCCTTCACTATTATTCTCCATTTTCTCCATTATGGCATTGCTGCAAATATTTGGGTAAACTAAATGTTTAATATTTAAAATATAACTTTTGTTCTGTTTTAATAATTAAATTTTTATTTTTTTTAAATCACACCTAACATTGAATTTTTATGTCATTTTGGTACCTATCTATAAAAACTTAAGGAAAGAAAAATTAACGGAAGAGTTGACATGAAATTATTTTTATGTTTTTTATATTCTATGCGTGATTTAATGACGCTTCTTCGTCCTCTTCCTCTGTTACACCATGCAGAAGCAAAAACCATATTTTAGAATCAGATCACGTCAAATTCAACAACATTTGCTACAAATTTTACAACTTTGAATTAGTATTGTTCATTGATGGCAACACATAGAGCCACTATTACCTAGCTAGCTCTTCATTTTTCTTAGAAGCTCGTGTTCAACACATATATGGGTATTTGAATAGATGAAAAAAATATTCGAAAAACAAATGAACACATGCGTGTGTACAAAGCTAAGACCTTCACATTCTTTTTAGCAATAAAAGCAACAAAAAGAAAACATAATCTCAAACACTAAAGAAACTTTGATTCTTTCTCAGGACCCCCGTTATGGGGGAAACAAAAATCCCATGCAAAACCCAGTAAGCTGATCTAATTTGAAATAAACTAAAATTTCAAAAAAAAAAATGATGAAAAGATGGTGAGATAAAGCTAAGCAAAAATGATTTGAAATTGAAACTTGAAAAAGGAAAAAATTACATTTGATGGAAACAATCTTTGTATCTGTAAACAGAGAAAGTATACACAAATGTGGGAGGCTTGCCTTTAAAGCATATATGGTCTAAGAGAGGAAGATGAAGAAGCATTATTAAAACACACGTGGAATATAAAAAACATAAAAATAATTCTACGTCAATCTCGTTCAATTAAGTTGTTAACGGTGGGTATTAAAGTAAAAAAAATTAAATGTTAGATATAATTTAAAAAAATAAAAGTTTAAGTATTAAAACAAAATAAAAATAATAATTTAAATACTAAATTTGTACTTTACTCAAAATATTTCTACCATTGGAATACTATTTACGTATTTTATCTTAATCGTTTATGATGAATTTGGTATCCCAAAATTCGTTGGGTAGTCTTCGTCTTTTGTCTTTTGTCTTTTGATTCAAATGATGTGTCAAATCACTATAATTAGGTCAACAGTGCTTTGTGCATCATCATCCTCATATATTCCCTCTATTTTATAATTAATTATTTTAATTACTTTATATAATTTACAATAATATTTAAATAGAAAAAGTAAATTACAATGGAAGCCATTTTTATTCTATTTTTTATTTTGATCACTTAACGTTTAAGATTATATTTTCATCCCTTAAATTATCGATTTATCATATAATTATTCCTCAAATGTTAGTTTATGTTATATTAGTGATGTCACATTAGATTTCGGAGACTGTAACTCTGTGAGCGACTTTCGAAGCCTTTTCATATGTACCCAACAAAATGTAATATCAATTTAATACTTTTTATAATATCTTAATTATAATTTTAAAATACTTTCAAATATTCTAAAATCTTTAGCGAAAAGTTACTAAAAGTTATAAAAAATTATAAATTGTTAAACCACTCATGTTACATTGAATTTCAAAGAGCCAAACAAGCTTTGTACTGGGACGGAGAATTTTAAATATCATAGTAATTGCTTAAAATATGGTCACCTAACTATTTATATGTCCTAAATTCGTCATTTTCCCTTAAAAAATTGGTGGTCGTTGGCGATCGTCTAAGCTGTACGTTAATTTGTTAACTAATATATAATAAAATCTGATCCTAGAACTGTTTGAGCTATATTTTGTAGATCAACTTTCCATTTACATTATGTTGTCGAGCCAGTGCTTGAAACATTATACCATCGAGCCAATGTTTGAAAGCAACAACTATGCCAGTAGACATCGTTAAAATATGATTTTATCATATCCCAATCAGCATGTTTACGTCCAGCTCAGACGACCTTCAAATTTTTAACGGAAAAAGATGCATTCGGAACATATAAACAGTTAGATGATCTTTTTGTAATTTTTAATAGTAAAGGGATTCAACAAAATAACATCTTATAATCGAGGGACCATTTTGTAACTTTTAATAGTTTGGTGTACTCAATAAACCAACACTATATAATCGAATGACCCTTTGTATACTTTATCCAAAAATCACTAACAATATTTAAAATTCTAATCATAATATATGAGGATGTAAATTGGTTGGAATGGATATACATTAACCTCTTCAATAGAAACACTAGATCTTTTAAACAAACTCAGAGGTTTAAATTCTGGTATTTGTGAATGAAGTAAATTGAGGTTGTCATTGCCTCTGCCATACTCGATCTAAATTAATCGGTCAATAGATCAAATATTGGTGATTATACCAAAAAAAATGTCGCCTGCAAGACACTCTAATAAAGTAATTGACACTATAGGAAACTAATATTTTTGACATGGTTCAATTGTGGCAATCTTCTTTCATTCACGTGCCAACCTTTATCCGAAAAAGGTTTACCTTTCACTTAAAAGAATTGGTCATCCTTTTCGTTTTTCCTTTGTTAGCTAATAATATAAATCCATTGTATATAAAGAAGGAATACATGATGGTGCTCACTTCACTATCATTCCTTATATCAAACTATAAGTAAATACCTTTAAATTTTTATTGTATTTGTCGAATGAGTGTTGTTCACATGTTTTTTTTCAACATTGGGGTGTTCTAAAATTATTACATTAATCTTAAAATTCTACATTTGATACCATAAATTCAAATTTTGATCTATAATGTCAATGAATGACAATTTTATTACTTTGAAAAATCCTTTTTAAGGTAAAACCCCCCACTATTTTAGATGAAATTATTAGCGCTTCAATGATAGCTCAAGTTCAATCTCGGTAGAGTAAATTAGACATCATTAAATTATGTAAAAATTATTATTTTTATGAGTATTTTTTAAATATTACAAAGCAATCATTAAAGTTCTCAAACAATTATTAAACGGTTATTAAAATTTATCAAATTTTTACAAAATAATCATTAAACTCATCAAATTATTACAAAATAAACTTACGCTATCGAAATCCGTTGTTATTTTGACATTTAAAGGGAGCGTTTTGTAATCATATAGAAAATTTTAAATTTATTTTGTAACATTTAAAATGTCCCTGATCAAAAAGATTATTTTTATAATTTTCAATGACATCTCGTGCGTTTTACCCTAAATATTTGTTATGCTCTTTAATAGAAACTGAATTTTAACCTATCTTGATGGAAAAATCGCCGATATTTTTGTGAGCTCTTTTGCAATAAATAATTGAGGGCTCATGTAGTACATACCGAAATAATCGAAGGTCGGACTCATTAATTTTTTTGATATAATTACTGAATTTTGATTTATTAATCGATCAATTCAGATCGAATATCACAAAAATGAGGAAATATTCTCTTGGTTTCACCATTTTTGTTATATGGTCCCAATCATACCAAACTTTCTGCATCTTCAACAGAAAAAAGGAAAAAGGAAAAAGGAAATAATTGTGATTGGAATTGACAATGTTTTTGGCTACACCCAGAATTTGTATTAAAAAAATACAATTATATTATATGCTTTTTTAATGAAAAAAATGTGGCATTCCTTAGTAACTATACTTTGAATTAATGTACATACAAACTAAGGGATCTACGCGGTAAAAAAATTGTTTTTATTCAGGATCCGGGTTCAAGCACCATTGATGTCAGAGGTGAGAAGTTGAGAGTTATTTTTGAACATACCTTATACTTATCCAAATTAATAAAAAAATTAATGTACATTATTTAATTAAATCAAACTACAATAAGTATACTTATTAAGTGTAAAATACAGATATATTAAATCATAGTAATCTTAAATTAGAACTGTATCCCTAATATTATTTAGTACTTAATTAGTATTATACTATATACTAATTAAAATTAAGATTTATTATTATAAATATAAGCAATTGTATCCAAAATTTGAAGTATTTTTATTCAAGTAGCATATAGAGAAAATCATAGAAAAAAATTAACTTTAGTCTATTTGATACCTTTTGCTTTTATTATTGAAAAATGTCTATTTTTATTATTATTTGATATGTTTGAATTTTATTATTATTTGATGTTTTAATAATAAACTATAGTTATTTCAAATTTAAATATGAATTCATTTTCTATTTAGAATTTACTTCCTAATGAATTTTGAATAATTGACTTTCAAAAATCAATATTAGTATCTATTTGAAATCTATAATTACATTGTTCAAACCTCTAATATGTACATAGAGTTGTAAATGAGACGAGTCAGATCGCGAGTTAGTCGAGATCAACTCGATTAAAGCTCGATAAATTTTTAACTTGAATGGACCCAACTTGAACTCGAGATCTTAACGAGCTTAAATGATCGAGCTACTTGATACTTTACTTATTTAAAAAAATAAATTATTAATAATATTAATTTTTATGTGTTGATTTTTTTA